GGCCCCCATTTTGTGATGCTTTCATAGCATTTAAGGCTGATGAAGAAACAGGAATTATTGGAAATGGGAAAGAAAGGAACAGTTCAGCTGTGGGAGTGACAAGGAAGTCAGAGTGTATGCAGTGTAGTGGCTCACCATGACTTGAAAAAGAATTGGTGGTGAGGGGGATTGTGCTTAATGGGCAGTACCATATGTCTTATTCAGATTTGCTATACTAAACAATCCTTGTGGTAAGTTCCCATCAGCATCTTAGTACCTTTTTGGCTAGGGTCAAACTGAGCAGTTGTGGGAAGCCTTAGTGTTCTTGATCTCTATGGGCGTAAGCTGAGCATTCTGGTCTACGTGGACAACTTGGTCCTCCTTGCTGGTGATGCCAAGCCACTGCAGAGTATGTTGAATGTCAGCTCCAAGGTGGTTGAGTGGATGGGACTCCACTTCAACACCACTAACTGCACCTCCCTGCACTTCGACTGCAGGAAGTAAAACACTGTCCTGGACTCCGTCATCACCATCCAAGGAAAGCAGATGAGGTGCCTGAGACACAGAGAGAGCTGAGTCAACCTGGGGACTCCCACTGGAGACTGGGTGAAGCAGACAGTGGAGGAGACCATTTGTAGGATCGTGCAGGATGCCCAGAAGCTGGACTCGTCTCTCCTGGCCCCTGACAGAAGATAAATGTGGTAAACACTTTTTTCATCTCCTGCATCGCGTTTGTCCTGAGGAGCTCAGCGGCTCCCAAGATCCCCATCAAGAAGGTGGACATCAAGATACAGCAGCTACTGAAGAGAAGTGGCTGTACCTACAGCTGTGGACCAACAACAAGGTCCTGTATGTCTCACATCAGCAGGGTGGTGCTAATTTGCCCCGCATGGGTGACCTCTGCAACATTGTGGTTGGTCATTCATGTCTACCACCTCCTGACCTGCCCAGACAAGATGATGAACAGCATTGTCACCAGCACCCTGATGGAGACTGCCCACAAGAGGATCACAAGGCAGCCCACCCAATGCGACCTGGCCACCTTCCTGAGCAGCTTACTGGAAGAAGAGTTCAACTGAGACAGTGGGGACTTTGTCTCGCTGTGGAGTTGAGCCCTCAACACCATGTACCATCTCGAAAAGCGCATCAGCTGCAACTGGACTTGGACCAACGAGCACCCGGAGCTGGAAATCTCACTGCTCCCAGCCCCTAACACCAGCCACATTGCCGTGACCCTCCTAGAGAGGTTCCTGAAGGATGTCATGTGAGCAAACTATGCTGGGAACCTGAGGGCGAAACCTGACAAGAGCAGTGTCTTCAAGTTCACCTCAAACGTGACACAAGCAACCATTTCATGGCCAGCAGGAGCTTCATGCAGTTTGTTGACTGGCACTTCATCCACCACAGCCACCTCAACTGCCTAGCGCTCAATGGTGCTGTCCAGTACGGGTACTACAACAGGAGGTGCTGATGCTATGGCTATGAGACTCTCCCCCATATACTGTATGCAAGCCGCACTCCAGAGCTTATCAACTGTGCCACAATAAGGACCAAGTCTGTCAACTACACCATTCCTGGCTGTAAGAGCCAGCTGTGCCCGGACATCGTTGTGACCAACGAGGACAGCAAGAGCGTGGTGATGGTAGATGTCACCACCTGTTCGAGATCCAGTGGCAAGCTTTGTTTGAGGTGTGAAAACAAGAGGAATACCAGCTGCTGGGGATACAACATGACAGTTGAGGTGCTAATAGTCGGGCTGCTGAGGGCATGTGACCTCAGCATTGAGAGTGTCCTGCGCACCTGCGGTGTATCCTGCCAGTACGCCAAGCTGATGCAGAGCCTCAGTGGTTGAAGGACGTCTGTGTAAAACACGTGGATAGCACCAGTATGTGGATCCCACCAGACTGCTGGCTGGAAGCTACACAGAGGGAACCACTTGAACCCTCCCCTCCCACTCCCACCTCCCCCTACCCACTCCCCTGCAGCACTGAATTTCCTCCAAGGACTTTTAATTCTGGACTCTTCCCCACCCCAGCAATTGTATCCTGCTTGTTATTTGTAACTGTATGTCTTTTCTGAACCTTCTTCCTATTACAATGTGGTGTTGTTGTGCAGGGTCTCCTCTATATTCTCTCTTTTGTAAGAGTCACACCCCCTCCCTCCCCTTCTCCATCCCCCTTCTCCACCCTGAGTTTAGTTGGCTGCATGTTTCTTAGGTAACTTAAGTTGTATTCCCATCCCTACCCTCATCCTCTACTGTGTAGCCCTCTGCTTGGGTTTTTCTGTATTTCCTTGTGCTTTGAACTTGGTCATTTTGAATTTTGATATTTTCTAATAAATTAAACTTTTGGCACCAAGGGGAGGGTGTCAGGGCTGGTTCTGGCCCTCTTGGTGCTAGCCTGGTATTGCAGCACCTTCAGTCCTGGTTCCAATTTCCTGCAGAAGGAACACCTGCCTGGTTTGGATTGTTTTTTTTAGGGCCACACACACAAAAGGTTCACATCAGCATATTTGCCCAATGGGTGTCATGCATTTTATAGTCATGGTCAGTGTTGACTGCATTTAATCAACTTCACAGGAGCACATCCTGCTTTTGGTAGCAGTTTCATGATGGACAATGTATTTAGGGAGATTTCCTTGTATGCGATTATAAGGCGAGGGCATTTTTCCCCCCTTGCCAACTGGGAGGGAAAACCTCATCTTGTAATCAAATAAATATAGTAGGCGAACTAGAGAAGATACAGAAAAGAGCAACAAGGATGAATAGTTGTATGGAGGGGATTCCATATGAGGAGAGACTAAAAAGGCTAGGCCTATTCAGTTTAGAAGAGACACACTTGAGGAGACATAAGGACTTACAAAATACTAAATGGTGAAGAGAAAGTAAATAGGGATTTCTTTTTCACACAGCTTGTAATTAAAGATTAGAACTCATTGCCACAATATGTTGTGGAAGCTGACACTTCAGAAGGCTTATTCAAAAACATTGGACAAATTCTTGGAGGAAAGGTGTATCAGTAGCTATTGAGCATGGGAGTTAGCAGTACAGCCTCTGAATCAGAACTTCCTAGACTAATATGTACTGGAGGCTGCAAGTGGGAGAGAAACTATGGGAAAAATCCTGGTCATACCCTGTTCACTCTCCTTTTCAGCATCTACTGTCTGTCACTGTGACATGGGATACTCTGCAAGATGGACCTACAGTCTGACCCAGTACAGGCACCCCCTGCTTAGTGCTCAATTGGTTCCTGAAAAACTGAGCATTAAGTGAAACTAAACGCTAAGCTAAACCACCTTTCATTTTCACTTTTCTAAAGCCACCAAAATCACTTCCTAAAGTCACCCAAATCACCAGAATCAGGGCTGTCAGAATTAGTGTCAGTTTCAATGCCAGCTGTACGATGCCTTGTGAACGTTATAACGAAACTCACTGAGTGCTAAGTGGAATTGGGTATCAATGCAAAATGAGCGCTTATAGCAAAATAGCATTAAGCGGGGGTTGCTTGTAAATGGCAGTTTTTATATTCTTACATATAACTAATAACAACTGCAACTTGTCATTACAGTTTCAATCTTTTCAAAGAGACTTGAGTTGAGGTAGAAGTTTGCCATTTTAGGGCATCTATTCAGTGTTTATCTTTTTAAACGTGAGCATGATTAAAGGACAAAGTCTATGACATGGTTCTAAGATTTTCTTTTTTTGTCTGGAATGAAATTTGCAAATTTACCTTCATCACGGTCCGAAAGTGAAGTGCCATAAAGGCAAGATTGTATTGAAAAATTAAATTCAGGACAGTCTTTTTTCTTTCCACACATCTTTAAAACTGATCACAAAAATCTGTTCCTTGAATGTCTCAATCTCTTCTTAAAAGGGAACCAGCTAGCTCAAAGTGAATATATGCAGCACAAAACCTGTTCTCCAGAAGATTTATCTTCATGTTCACACTTCTGTTCCTGTTTGTTCCAAAGCAGTAGAGACAGACAGACCTGTGTCTGATTTTTAACAGTTCAAAGATACTCAAGTAAAAGGTAATAACCCTTACTTTGTCAAAGTCTCCAGCATGGATGTTTGGAGGCGGTATATTGCCAAGTAAAGATACAGTTCCTTCTTCAAGGATGTTATAATTTAGATAAATGTAACATACAATAATGTTCTCAAGAGAGTAGGGGTTTCAACTTCAGTACCATGGTATCTGGTTTAGTTAATTACATTTTGTGTTCCAAAAATTGCTCTTATCATTTAGCTGGCAGTAATAATCTTCATTTCTTGTGCAAAAACTGTTTCCATTGTTTTATTCTGTGGCTGTATTTCAAGAGTGTGTAAAGTAAACCCTGTATATTTTCATCCATTTCTGAGCCTGATTGTGCAAAGCCTTGATGTTGTGTTTAATCCTGACCAGTGAGAGTAGCCACATGGCAATAGTTTGTAGAACAGATCTTAAATTTTTAAAGTACGTTGAATTCCTATATGGTGGAATTCCCAGATGTTTTGATATGCTTTGTAATGTTTTTTCATTACTTCAATATTAGCATTTTTTCCACACTGGCATGTAGTCCCAGTTTCTCTGCTGTTATGATTAAACTTGTAAAGTATAGGAGAATGAACTATACTTATCTTTGGTGTCCCTTCATTTATAATAATCTAGAGACAAATTTTATATGTATTATTAGCACCACCTTTCTCTACATGTAAAAAGAATACTACTACTAGTTCAAAAAAAGAATAGTTTACAGATCTGGTTGGTGTGGATGGTGAGCCTTTGCTGCATTGGGAGGGCAGAAAGAAGTGTTCATTAAAGCAGCTATAGTACGTCAGACAACTTAGGTTTTATTTCTTATGAGTAAAGATTGTACCAGTAGTTAGTCTGTAAGATGCAGTCATAACAAGTGTGAATGAAAGAGATTCTTTTTAAGGGATATTATTATCCATTTTAAAGCATTTTAAAGTAATGGATGTAAAACAAATAGTGTTAAAGCATCACCCTTTAGAAATACAGTATAATTTTTTATTCTGTTTTCAGTTTTGGAAGGATATTGTTGAGGATAACGAAGTACGTGACCTCATTTCTGACCGAAACAAATCTCAAGGTGAGATATCTTGAATAAACTGATTAGATGAGTTTTAGTAAATATGGAAAAAGAATGTCTCAAGTTAATGCTTTTTTTTGTAGATATTCCATCAGAAGAATGGATATGGGAATCCTTATTTCACCCACCTCGCAAGTTGGGCATTAATGATATAGAAGGGCAGCGGGTACTTCAGATTGCAGTGATTTTGAGAAATCTTTCCTTTGAGGAGGGAAATGTTAAACTTTTGGCAGCTAATCGCACTTGTCTTCGGTTTCTGCTGCTCTCTGCTCATAGTCATTTTATATCTCTGAGACAGCTGGGACTTGACACACTAGGAAATATTGCAGCAGAGGTAAGGAGTTTCATTTTGTAAAAATTAAAATATCACTTGGAGAAGTTACTACTTCAATAATTAATCAGCTGGATTTTCTTAACTTTTTTCTTGTGATTTTGAAAAAAAAAAAATGGTGAATAATGCTTTTGCAGTTTCAAACCAGAAGACTTAAATGGAATGCAGTGGCTACCCGTAAGATACAGAGCAGACTCCCCAGTTTGTCTGAAAAACATCCTAGTGAAGGAATTTGAATTGAATTCCCATAGTATAGAAGGAAAATGTAATTGAGTGACGTTAGATATTAAAAATATTCATGCAAGTTATAATTCATTACTTTTATAAAATAATACAATAATATTTGTAATTGATAGTAGACACTAAAATACTGCTCATGGTAATGGTCATTATGGGTGCCTATACACAAGTGCAGAGTCTGCTCCGACACACTTTAATTACAGTGCATCAGAGCAGACTTGATTAATTGAGTCTGTTGGAGCGTGGGAATTACCACGCTCTGGCCAGCTTCCGCATCCAGTGTATCAGCATCCCTGCATTTCAAAATGGCAACGGGAGTGCTTAATCTAAAGCTCATGGAGCGTGCTTTAGATAAAGCACCCCTGCTACCATTTTGGGGCACGGGGATGCTGGTATACGAAATGCTCCCGGTGCTTTAATTAAAGCGGCTTCTGGAGCCACTCTAATATAAAGCACCACCCCTCCCCCAGAGCACATGTATAGATGACGTATGAGACCAAGAAGAATTTAGTGAGTTCACATACACTTGGATATATCAAACCTATCTTCAGAGAGGGAATCTTTTTCTGAGAATTTAAATATAAGAGGAAATAGTAACATGCCAGCTGAATTTGTATTATAGCATTATACACCACAGATAAAATATGTTAGGATATTTCATACGTCTTTAAATTGTGCAGTGAGAAATAATAAGAAAGAAAACAGTGCAGTGGTCATCTATGAATAGAAGTTTGACTATCTTGTGTTTCCATGAATATCTGCTCTGCCATGGAGTATGAGATTTTGGGGAGAGTTATTGTATTATTTGTAGCATTTAGGATCTCTAGTTATGGACTATGGGCCCATGATGCTAGGTGCTGTATAGGAAGGGTAAATAAAATTCTACCATATGCCCTTTGTCAAGTGCTGCTGTTTTACAGAACTCTATAAGATATTCATATCTATGTAGATGATGACCCAGAAATTAAAATTTTCTCCTGTCTCTAAATACAAGAATGAAAAAAGGGAGGTTTGTATGTCAAGAGTGTAGCATGCTACCTTCCATTACCTTAAAATAGAAAAAAGGAACTGCAATTAAAAAAAAATAGGCACTGAAAACACAGCTTGTCTTATTCATAGAAGTGAGATCCAGTTCCAACAAATATTGCACAGTAAAGATTTTTGAGAATTGCATTTGATTTACAGATTTAATAATCTGAACGATTGTGACCATGGATACAGCGTAGAATGCAGTGTAAATAATGTTGGGTTTCTTTGTCTTACCAGCTTCTGTTGGATCCAGTTGATTTCAAAACTACCCATCTTATGTTTCACACTGTTACAAAATGCCTGATGTCAAGGGATAGGTTTTTAAAAATGAGAGGTAAGGACTCAGACTGTCTGTCTGTTTTTGAAAATAGTGAGATAATAGTTTTGACTGATTAAAGCTATTTTATATGTTTTACAGGCATGGAAATCTTGGGGAATCTTTGTAAAGCTGAAGATAATGGTGTTTTAATTTGTGAATATGTGGATCAAGAATCCTACAAAGAAATAATATGTCATCTCACTTTACCAGATGTTCTGCTTGTAATCTCAGCACTTGAGGTGCTTTATATGCTCACAGAAATGGGAGAAGTGGCCTGCACAAAGATTGCTAAAGTAGAAAAGAGCATAGGTGAGGGAAAATAAAAAACAAAATATCAGATTTGTTGTTTATAAAGGAAGAACTAACAAAATGTCACGTTCAGGGCTTTGAAAAATTAATGTGTGAGATTGTAATGTGTATATTGCTTCAAGTACTTTTTACATATTTAAATCTGTTCTTCAAGAAGGATTGAAAATAGAATCCAAAGCACAGCAGAATTCTTGTCTCCTTGTACCAAGAAAAACGCAATGTAGTTATATAAAGGGAGTGTCAGCTTAACACAAATCAGCTCACTGTTTGTTTTCATATCATTGTTGGTTTTGTATTTAATGTTTTAGATACATTAGTGTGTCTGATTTCTATGGACATCCAGATGTTTGGACCTGATGCCCTTGCTGCTGTAAAACTTGTTGAACATCAAAGCTCCAACCACCAAGTAGTGCCTGAAATCAGGACGCAGGTAGTGGAGCATGCTTCCTCCCAGGCCCATGGCACAGCTGTGTCAGGTTAGTACTGTTGCAGACGACCCTTTCTATTTCAGTAGAACTTCCTCTACAGGATGTGTGATTGTCAATCTGGCAGGGAGGGTGTATGTGAACATACATAACTATAGTACTGTATATAATTTAGTGATTTATTTGTGCTTAAATGCACCAACTTAGATGTACACATTTTGAAGTGTTGCTGACAAAGTGAATATTAAGTTAGTCTTTGGGGTTTTTGTAAATGAGTAGTTCTTGTAATTACATGAGAGCATTGTGAAGCAACATGGAGTCTTAACATTTTTTCAAAGCTGTTAATCTTGAAAATTTATTAAATGAAAATAACCATAATTTTTTTTTTTAATTAACCTATGCTTGTCAGCAAAGTATCTCTTATGGATCATTTCTATACTTCATAGATGGTATTAAGTACATTTTGCATTGTATTATTTGTGAAGTGCTGGTAGGCGGCAGTGTTCAAAAAGCGTTCTCAAGTACTGGTTGAGGCTATAAAAATGGAGGAAGGAGCTAAAGGAATTATTACAGATGAAAAGCTGAAAAAAAGCTTCTCCTGAAGGCTGTTTAATTTGTCACGTGAACCAACTTCTGCCCTTAAAGCTTGAAGAAAAAAATAATTCATTTTTTAGGTCAATTTCAAAATGTTGTATGCTGATGATGATTACTATTTTTTGTAATTTTATTTTAGGAGTGAAATTCTGCTTGCATTGAAGTGAGTGGCAAAACTCCCTTAGACTTCAGTAGGGCCAGAATTTTTTTCTCTTAGATGCTTATCTTTGACACACACAGTATTTGAAAAGGATTTTTGCTTTTAAATTGATGCACAGAACTATATCCTGCTGCTGTAAGAGTTCCTCTCAGAAATTGACATTTAATATAATGGGAAAATGTCTGTTCCAATGCTTTTCACAAGGATATGTGTGATGTCAATATAGTGACATTCAGGGTGATTCATACAATTAGAGTACAACTTGTTATGGTTTTTTGAAAACATGCACAATTTATTTTTAAAAGTCAGCCCTTCCCCAGCAAGCAGCTAACATGTATTTTTCTTTTTCCCATGAAATTTTTAAGTAGCATACACTTTAAAGACCTTTACAACTTTTCGTTGGTTTTCAGAAATTTCTTTCAGGGTATGAATGTGAACTGTACTAAATAACTAAAACCCATGCAAGTCATAGTCAAATCAAAAGACTTTAGTACTTGCTTGTTTAGACACAGCAAAAAAATATTTTTTCTCCTTCAGTATCTTTTCATTTTCCCTGTTGAATTAAAGGGATGCTTATTTGCTAGATTTCCTACTCAGAACCTCAGGCAGAAGGAAGGAGTAGCATCTTAAAGAATGCAAAATAAAACAAAGCAGGGTGGTACCTTACAGACTAGCTGGGTTAGAGAGGCGTGAGCTTTTTGTAGGCGATGATGTACTTCATCAGATGCTATGAATGGATTGTCCATTCAAAGCATTAATAGTGACCTTTCATAGCATCTTATGTCTCCTAAAGCTCATGTTTCTCTGACCCAGCTAGTTTGTAAGGTACCATCCTGCCTTGCATTATGCCTGACTTCAGACTAACAAGGCTAATCACCTCTGTACTCAGAACTTTTTATCAGTTAATCAGGTTCCTCTTCCTTTCAAAGCTACCTTTATAAAAATGTTAGTTCACAGTGATTTTTTTACAAGCCAGAAAAATCACCATCCATGAAATCTTGACTTTTCGTTAACTGATTGAATTTCTAAGGCCAAGTTTTCTTTAAAGACTATTGCATTGATGTTACTGCATTAATGTAGGTAGACTGATGCAGGTGTAGGGGAATTTTTATAAGTGCAGCTTAGTTAATAAGTTCCCAGAGTAAGTTGTGTTGGTATAAAACCCACTTAGGTCCAACTATGAAGACTGTATTGAAATGCTTGTATTGAATAGGTTACTTAGACGTTTGTGTTGAAGGAGCTAATATCCAAAGCAATGAAGGATGATGGAATAATCCCATTGTCAGTCAGACTTGCAGTCTACAGGGCAATGATTTTCCTCTGCAAACTGAAAACTCAGTAATACGTGCATAGGTGTATGTGTTTATACACAAGCCTGTCTTAAGGCAGTCCCCTTAGTACGTTTAAAATTACATTTAGTTATCTCATCCCATCACTTGCAATTTTTTCAGAAGTTTATCTTTTGGTATAAATTTGCCAACTTTGGGCTGCTCTTTCAGATTTTGTATACAAAAATTGGGCAAGCTTTTTAAGCTAAGTGAAAGGCTGAAAAAATGTTGTCTAGCTTCAGATATTTGAGACTTAAAGATAAGCTGCTTTTGAGTTTTTTGAATACAGAAAGTTCAAAGATCTAACATCTTCCATATAGGAACACACTACTAACCTTTTAAAGTCCTCTTGAAGCAGTAGTTCTTCCTTGAGAGAGAATCCATACATATTGCACTCTTTGAGCATATGGTTCACTGTCAGAATCTTTTGGTCAGCAATGGAAAACCCTTGTCTGTGGCTCATTCTAGAACTAGGGCCCCATGTCCATTTGGATCCTTTATATTGTAAAAATGTAGCTAGCCCCCAGGGCCTCAACAGCAACAACAATGAACAACTAGTAAAGGGTATCAAGAAATGGAGCTCAGCTGCTCTCTCTTTCTTTGCCCAAGGCCTCTGACACAGGTTCCATTTAAGGCATGATGGGATCTAAGCTACAGTCCTAACAGTTGCATCTTCTGCCATGCAATGGGAGCAGTTGTGTCCTGAACCCTAGGGCTGCTCCATGCTGGATGTGTCTCAGGATCTGTCATGGGCTAGCCCCAACTAACCACATGTTTGATTTAGGGTGTTCTACAAATAAGCTACAAATTTGCTGCATGTTATACATGGAATCACTTTTGTGGCTCATTTACTGCATTATCATGCCTTAAATTGACTTGAACATGTGACCGGGTTACTATTTAATTCACAGTTAACCTGTTAATCATGTCTTAAATGTAACATGTCAGAAGCCACATGGAACTGTGGATTGATAAAATCATGAAGTTGGAAGCGACTTTGATATCATGCAGTGCAACCCTTACCAAGACACGATTCACAGTTCTTGAAATATCCCAGACAGATCTCTGTCCAGCTTCTTGAAACCTCCCTGTGAAAGAGATTCCACAGTTTCCTTAGGCAGTTTGTTTCAGTGTCCTGCTATTTTTACAGTTAGGAAGCTTTTCGTGAGTGCTTTTATTTAAGTCTGCTTGTCTATAGTCTAAACTGGAGTTTTTCAACCTATGGCCTGCGGGCTGAATGCAACCCATAAAGCCCAGGTGAATGGCCAGTCACCAGCTGGAGCTCACTGGCACATCAGTGTGGCTCCTGCCAGAGGTGTGTGTCAGTGCAGGGTCTGGGTAAAGCCCTCACTGACTGGTGGTTACCTCAGAGCACTTGCTGCATATGCAGAATTCTAACAATACTCTCCTGTGCAACCCTAGATATACTCTTCTGATGTTAAAGTTTAGCCTCTTGTTTCATAGTTAGTAGGGTCGGAAGGGACCTGAGCAGATCATCAAGTCCGACCCCCTGCCATGGCAGGAAAGAGTACTGGGGTCAAACGACCCCAGCAAGGTGATTGTGAGAGAGGCTTGAGCACCACTGTTCTAAACCAGTTTTCTCATGTCCTGTCCTCTGTGGCAAAGGAGAAGAATTTTTCTCCCTTTTTAATAACACCTTTTCATCTATTTGAAAACTACTGTAATATCTTCACTTCTTTCTTCCCAGATTAATGACTTGGTTCCTTCAGTCTTTCCTTATGTGCTTTACATTCTTACCCCTTCATCATTTTTGTTGCTAGCCTCCAGATAGTCTTCAGTTTCTCTATGTTCTTCTTAAAATGCAGTCCCCCCCCCCACTGAATGACAAGTCCAGCAGAGGCCTAACCAGTCCCAAGTGGAGTGCTCCTAGGTCTTGCATACAGTTGTTCTGTTAATGCAACTCAAGATCGTATTTATATTTTTCATGACTGCTGACCCACTGTAACTGTCATCCATGTGAGCATAACAATTTTCAGTATTTCCTTTGTATGATGATAGACGCTTTGGAATTCTATAATGAGCCTGTACAGGCTCCAGTCCTATGAGTTTATGGGTATTCTCTATTCCTGGGGATGTCAGAGAAGATCAAGTACCATCCACTCTCCCATTTTCTGTACACATACAGCTCCTAGTTTTTCCAGTTGTGACAGCTGAAAAACAACAATCTAGATTGGTGCGGTCCTATTGTGCTGCTAAGAGAGCAGGACCTAAACTTAAAATTGCTCGGCCTGTCAGCAGAAAGTGATCCTCTTCTGCTCTTCTCTTGAGACCTCTTCCACTGCCACCCAATCAAGTTAAAGCTCATTTGAGTAAAATAGAGGCAGAATTAGTGGTATTCTCCTGACCACTAAATATATAGAGTAGATGCCCTGGGATCATATTTCTACAAAGCGATATTTTGTTCTAGAGAACTCTAGGTCTCAAAGAGCCACAATTATTGCAATAAGTTATCCATATCTAGTCTGCTAAGTCCTGGATATGTTTGACAGCAGGATTGTGTAATGATGAAGAAACTGAGAAATGAGTAGCTGTAATGACTCTATAGTCTGTAAGGTGGGAGTTCTGCAAGGGCACTTGTGGTTCAGGCATGACCCCAGCAGACACTGCTGGGCAAAAGATTTCTATCTCATACGCATTCCACTTATCTGGAATGGAATGCATACAGAGAGTGTATTTCTAAGATCTCACAGACACTAAGGTAAGTGACTTTTTCTAAACTTAACAATAAAAATAATTCCCAGGAAGGGAATAAGCTTGGACCTTATTCACTGTTCATCTACATTCATCAAAGTTAGATGGAAGTTCTATCTCCTTATGTTCTAACTTTAAAAATGGTATTCTGCCAATTTGTAAATGTACACTCAGCAGTTAGGGTGAAACTTACTCTTCTCCACCCTAAACCTGAGTAATTTATCTCAGTACAGAGACCTAAGTACATGTACTTCTTCAGCCTTACCTTCACTAATAAAAATAAATATAATCAAACACTTGGACATAAATAACAATAGTAAAGGAAAAACAATTTCCAAATATTTTTTTCTGCTGGGGAAAGGAGTGGAGAAAGAATTGCATGTGAAAGATGCTAGTCATGTATATACTACTGGAAGGTGCTTGGATAATGCAGTGAAGGGGGATATAGGACTGGGGTGAATTTGACTTATTAGGATAGGCACACTGGCTGCGTCCACACGTCATGGACTTTTGGTTATCTGAGGATGACTAGCAGTGGTGCACCTTTTGCCACCTCTACTTTTCCCTGGGGAATGCCTGTGGCAAGTTAGTCTGGGGGTGCTATGGGAGGCTGGGGCCAGCAGCCTTACCTGGGGGCCTCCCAGGGCTGCAGCAGCAATGATTCTGCCATGCAGAGCCTGGCTGGCAGACACAGCATTGTAGGTGTGTGTGAAGCAGGCGGTATTAGATTCAGATTCAGCCTGATTCGGGGGACAGTGATTTGATTCACTGATTCGGATCGCTGTTTTGATTCGGAGAATCAGTGATTCGGCCATAGACACAGCTTTATATGGTTTTTTGTTGTTTTTTTTCTACATACCTCAAGGTACCAGGCAGCTCGTGAATGCTGAGATGGCGGAGCGGATGGAGAGTTCCATGGGAGCGTGGAGGGTTCGCCAGTGTACTCTGCGGCAGACCCAGAAGTGGACTAGAAGTACTTCTGGTCCAGTTCTGGATCTGCTGCTGACTGTGTGGGGGATACCCCTTGTACCCTCCCCAACTCAGTGATTTAGCTGCAGGGGCACCCTGGGTGACCCCTCTCCCCCCCCAGGCCCAGGAGGCACCGTGTGCCAAGCTGACACGGGAGAAGGCCCCCACACGCTCCGCAGCAGACCTGGAAGTGCTTGTGGTCCACTTCTGGGTCTGCCACAGAGTGCGCTGGGGAACCCTCCGTACTCCCATGGAACTCTCCATCTGCTTTACCATCTCAGTGTTCACGAGTTGCCTGGTACCTTGAGGTATGTAGAAAAAACATATAAAGCTGTCTATGGCCGAATCGTCAAATCTCTCCAAATCAAATCAGCGGCTTCCGATTCAATTCAGAGAGATTAATGGGTCTTATTATTTGATTTGGATTTGGATATTTGGCCACCGAATCAGACCAAATCTCCTCTGAATTGAATCGGCAACAGAAGCTTTGCACAGTCCTACAGCATAGCTCTGGGCTGCCTGGCTCTGCTTTTGAGCAGCACGTATTGCCCGTATGTGCGCTGCTCTGCTTTTTTTTTTTTTTCCCCCCAATGGGTTTTTCGACCCCTGGATTTCCAGGGGTCAAAAATATCCTCCGTGCTGCTTCCTTGCCACTGCATACTGCACAGCTATGCTCATCTGGATGTGGGAACTGGGCGCATCCAGATGAGTATACACGTGCGGTATGTGGCACTACAGACATGCTGCATATACAGGCATTCCCAGCACTGCTAATTTGCACTGGGGGTGGGACTGATACCGGGAGATCCCAGTGTAAGAAAAAGAAAATGTGCCTAAAAAAAGTGGGGCGGCGCATGTAGTGGCAGTGCACGCCACCCGAAACCAGAACTCAGCTGGCCGTAGCCATACTCTGGCTGCCAGCCAGGCTCCCTGTTGCTGGATCACCATGACTGCAGCCCCCAGGACTCCAGGTAAGGATGCTGGGGCCAGCCAAGATGCTGACCTCAGCCTCCCCTACCCCACCCAGGCAACTTTCCGCTCACCACAGCTGTGTGCTGCTGCTGTTTGTCCCTGGGGAAACGCACGTGTGCTCATCTGGATGTGCCCAGTGGGTGTGTCCCCACATGCAGGCGCATGAGCTTGCAGCGGTAAAAAAAAGTAGCAACCCAAATTTGTGCTGTTACTTTTTGCCACTGCACACATTCATGCACATGCAATTAAGTGTAGGGCAAATTGCCTTGCTTGGGAAAACTGCCATTTCTCCGCTTCTCCCAACTCTTCCTGTGCTGGAGTAAAGGGTGGGGATGGGACTAGAGGAGGGGAGATGCTCTGGCTGGCTGCGAGGAGAGCATTTACTTGGAAAACTGAGACTGCGTGTTTGCCAGTGCATGCACCTAGAGTGTGCCATGCCGCTTTTTTTTTTGCTATAGTTTTTTTTTTTTACACCAGGAGTTTCAAATTTGCAGCATGGCAAACAATCGGACGTGCCCAGCATGTGGTTTGCAGTGCTTCAAACAGGTTTGAGGCTCCAGAAATTACACGTGCCCGGTATGTGGGAACACGAAATAGTCCTTTCCTACTTTTGAACTGAACGAGTCATTATTGCAATCTCTGTGCCAATTTTAATGAGACCTTGTGCTGCTGCTGCCTTGCTTCAGAATGTTGGCCTGTTGGCCTCTGCATTTTGTGCAGAGACCTCTATCAGTATTTAAAGGAAGTAGATGATGTCCTTTGCTGCTGTTTGACTCACTTCCCCATTTACGATGTTTAAGTGGCATAGAGAGCCTTATACAGGCCTCTGCCCCATGTACTTTGAGATTGGTACAGAGTTACCACTCTGAGCTGTTTAGCCATTTGTGGAGTGTACTTATACAAATGTGTAGCATATATATGATATACCAGTGTAAACAGTGACTTGCACCATAATAGTTTATCTCCAGTTTCAAACCAGGGTAAGCTCTACCAGTGCAGATAGTAGTTTTATACTAACACAGAGCAGCTACAATGATGAAGATACACCAGTCACTAAAAAGCATAGGTGTTGAAGATCCTTAGGCTTCAGCACATTTTTTAAACAACTTGGCATGCCTTTAAATGTGAATTGATTTAAAACAAATGAATTGTTCAGTAAGCTATGGACTTTTTAGGACATGGAAGTGGGATATTCTTTAAATATACATTTATTTATTTTTTTTACTTTAAATGCCTATGCAGCTTTCTGTGCTTACGCATAATTAAATAATCCTTACGTTTTAATTCTGTCAGAATAGATTATGGGTCTTTTGTCTGTCTTTTGTTGTGGGGAAGCTTTCAAAGATATAAAAAGAAATTTGATTTGAAATTTGTTTTTAAGTACTGAATTGTAGAGTACTGTTTGTGTTGCACAAGATATTTAATAGTAATTTACATGCACTGAATTTTGCAAGTAATTATTATGTTTCAGCATATATATTTTTTCCATTCTTCACAGCATCAAGAGCAGCACAGCATGTTGCTCCACCACCAGGAATAGTAGAAATAGACAGTGAGAAATTTGCATGTCAGTGGTAAGTTTTATACAGATATTTTTTGAATAAGAAGAAAATCAAAGGAAAATGCCTGTATTCATGTCAGGCAGTTTTCTAGCTGGTTTCTATTCAGGGTTAGGAAGTCACATTTTTATGGAAAATATAAGTGAAAACATTCTGTCATATTGCTTTGAAGAAATCTGAAAGAAAAATATCTACCAAAAATGTTCACCACGTAACAGATGATCCTGCAAACTAGTTGTCCTTTGCTGAGAGTATAGCTTAATTCCATAACTTCATTTCAAAGCAAATCTTGCAGTAAAATCGTAGATCAGTATTATCAGCTTCATCTTGTGCTACTATAGCAATAGAAAAATATTTCTCAAATATTAGATCTAGACTCCTTGGGAGGCCTAAGGAAAAAAAATGAACATGAAAGCTTCTCACCCCAAAACTAACTTTTTGAATGTTTTTGTCGGTAAAAATAATGTTTGTTGTTCATCAGTTATACAAAAAAAATACTTGGTTCATAACCTTCAAGTAGAGCTGGGTTGATTTTTCCCAAACTAGAGCTCTTACATGTCCACTGAAGTTCTTTTTGTATTAATCTGTTTTGATACAATTATCTAGTCTTGTCGCTCCAAAAACTATAATATAGTATAAATAAATTCCTAAGATGGATCCAGATATAGTGTTGCTTCAAATATTCATTTATATGCAGATGTCTTGATGGTAAAGTAAAGAGCATTTCAGAGGAAACTACACGGTTGCTTAATTCAGCCCTACAGAGAGATTCTTTGCTTAGTTACTGCAGTGTAGAAAGACTAACATAGACGTTTTTGATTATTTAGAAAAAAGTAGCTTATATTTAAATACTTCAAAATCCACCAATTATTGGAACCCTTCCATTTTTTCTTTCGAACTCCACGTAATGCTTCAAAACCCCATAGCTTTGTACTTTGTAGGTCAGATGCATACTAGGAGCGCTCAACCCCTGGCCCACAGGCCAGATTCAGTCCGTCACACAGTCA